CTCAAAGAACATTGAAAAGAAGCCCAATTCAAACTTGAGTGCCAAAACTATCATTTTGACATAGTGCAAACAGAGTATGTAACTCTTCAGGAAAGAGTTAGACAGATGGAATTACCACCTTCAGGAGTGTATAGACCTACTTGGAGGATATGTCCAGAAGCAGTCGTTGCACCCAGATTGTTTTTGTTCGGTACAGATTGCTCTGATTTGGTAGTGGTGCTTTTTTAGTTCCTCTCGTATTAATTAAACTCTAACATTCAGTGTGGTGGCTTTGACATCTAGTAATATATGCACAGCCACTATACAAAAAAATTAGAGTCAGATTTAAGCCTCTGATAGATTCCCCTCTAGCCACAGGCAAGGGATTAGAACAGCTTTGCTATCAGACAGAGATGATTGTAAACTTGATTATGGTGGATGGAAACATGGTATACTATGATACTAGGTCAATTGACTTCCCTCTCTACCCAACCTGAATTTTCTGTAAGCCCAAATATTTCTCACTTTTAAAAGCAATGTAACTTTCGAAGTGTATGACGTGTGAATGTTATATCAAGGAAACTACTGAAAAAAAGAACTGACACTCTACCTATGGTTACCATGGGTGAAGGAGCAAGAGTGGAGAGGGAAATCAATAAAGGTTGTATAACACAAAGAGTATAATCAATGGCACTGAATTACACATGTAGAAGTTACTGAATGGAAAAATGTTTTGTTGTGTATATTTTGACTGCAATTGGAAAAAATAATTAGACAAATGACAAGGAGTACAAGGAAGAAGGAACTGTAATGTTCTAAAATTGATTGTGGTAATGATTGTATAACTCTCAAAATGATTGAATTATTGAGTTATATGATATGCGGATGAAGTGCCAATAAAACCATTTTAAAAACAAAAGAAAATTGGACAACAAATAATTTACTAGGATGGCAGTGTTTTATGTAGTTTTAATTCTTTTCTTTATTTTTCTTAACACTGTAAGACACAAGATAAAAGCTCTCTTGTGCCTAGATTTTTCATTGTTATTAATTCCCATTTCCTCTTAGTTTCCTTATCCAGAGATTATCTGTTTTCTATAAATTCATTGCCATTTATGTAACACTAGCACTCTTCCTTTGTTTTTAGTTAAAGAGCCTCAGTGATGGACGCGCTTTCTCAGACCTTCTTTACACACACACACACACACACACAATACACACATGCGCATCAAAGCCTCCCACCTTCCTGGTCCTTTCATTATAGTCATCTCTCTTTTTCTAAGAATATTCAAGAAGAGAGGAACCCCAGGCCCTTGTGCTTCAGAAATAGCAAAGTGGTTGGGTTTCCAGGTTTTTCTAGAAGTCTGTGCGCCTGTAACTTTGGAGGAGGACCTAAAGAGGATAGGGTGGGTGTGGAATATCCTTTTGCTGCTTTTTAAGTTTTTTAATTTGCTTGAAAAATGCTGAGGTTTCTTTTTCTGACCTCATTCCAAAGTTCCCGTACTTGCTGCTTGGACATGCAGCTATAAATTGCACAGATCACAGAATCCAATTTCAATTTTTGAAACCTCAACAGCATGAAAACGTTTAAAATATGTCTGCTGGAAGGGCCTACCATCCTGACTATCAGAAGCCCTGTTTTCCAGGGCTAGTCTGTCCTAGTCTCCAAGTTTTAGCATCTGTTAAATGTCTTTCATACAAACAGTTACTCAGAGTTTAGAAATGTGCACATTTCCCAGGTCTGCAACACAGAATCCACAGTTCTCCCCATACATACAGCTATTGTTTGTAAAACTTACACAGAAAACATTCCATTGAGCTTGAGAAAGAAAAAAACAATTTAATATAAATAATATACAAAGGGTTTATTAAAAGTTACTCTATCATCTGAAAAAAAATGGCAAATATAAAACTGACTGGGCTTTCTTTAAATAATTTGCTTATCACAAATTTAGGAAAGTTTATTTGGATATACCAACTAATGTAAGTTTCTTTTTCATAGCGTTCACTCCTGATGATACAGCTCATTTTCTCATAAATAGCTGTCCTGCTGATGCCTTGACATAATCTTTGTTGGTCCTTTTTTTTTAATTGGGATAAAATTGAGGTTTTGAATTCACATCATTCATTTCGTTTTACCCACAGTTAATAATTTACCCTTCTATCCCGCATATACTGAATCAGAATCAGATATATGAACTGGTTTGAAGCCCTGGGTAAAAGACACAAGATTAAATTCACCGTTGTAATGATTTTAAAATATATCATTCAGTCATTTTTAGCATGTCAGTGATGTTTTAAGAGCCATGGTGGATTACACATTGGTTGGTTTGTGTAAAATAGGTTCTAAAGTGCTATTTTAACTCCTTTATCATTTCTTTTACTATAACCACTGGATGTATTTCCATAGTGTTTCATTAGGGGTTACAATAACAAATGTTGCTACTATAGATCTTTGTCCCCTGTACCTGTGAGCTGTTATTGTCACATATTCTGGCGTAAAGCAAAGACCACATGAAACACTTACTACTGAAAATCAACTACTACAGCCATCAGTATGGATTACAGGTTATTTTTTTAATCCCTCACAATTGGACTGATAAATACATCATGATAAATGCTGAATATATTGAAGTTGTTGGGGATTTCACATTACTTGGATCCACAATCAGCAGTTATATAAGCAAAAGTTCAAAATATTGGTTGGACAAATATACTGCAAAATATCTCTTGAACATGTTAAAGAACAAAGATGTGACTTTGAGGATAAAGGTGAGCCTGACCAAGCCTTGGAATTGCCTCATATGCACATAAAAACTGGACAATAAATGGAGAAGAATGGAGATATTAGAATTATGGTATGGACAAAAAACATTGAGAGTGCCGAACAAATCTTTCTGGGAGGAACTCCAACCAGGATGCTCGTTAGAGGCAAGGATGATGAGACATGTTATCAGGAGAGTCCGGTTTGTGGAAATGGACATCATGCTTGGTAAAGCAGAAGATCGGGAAAAGATCTAAGGAGAGATTGACACCATGGCTGCAATAATGGGCTCAACGAGAACAATAATTGTAAGGTTTGTGCAGCACTTGGCAGTGGTTCGTTGGGTCGTACTTGGTCAAAACCCACTCAGCAGCACCTAACAGCAACCACATAGTCTGTGTACCCACCAACATGCATATAGAATTAGTGTTCCATGAAGCTCTGTTTTCAAAAATAAGATATTAAAGAAAAAGTTACAAAAATACATTAATACTGTCTTTTACCGGTACACAGATTCCCAAGATCACACAGAGGCTGTGGCCTAGTCCCTGCTCAAGCCTTTCCTTGGCCCTGGGCATGGCTGTGGTCTTATAGATTCATGAGCATTGTAAAGCACATATTCTTCAAGGCATCTTATTCCCCAGTCTTGCCCCTGAGAGTTTTAGTCACTCTATTATAGTTTCTTAAGCATCAAGCTGCTAACCTCGAAATGAGTGGTTCAAACCCACTAGCAGTCTATGGGAGAAAGGTAAGACCACCTGCTCCTGAAAGGATTCGCCATCTCGGAAACCCTGGATAGGACTGCAATGTGTCAGAATCTGCTGGATGAGAGGGAGTTCGGATTGCAGTTTTCTGTTGTGTCTTAGTGGTTAGGCACTTCGTTGTCTGCAGCTTGAACCCAGCCGGGCGCCTGCAGTCGGCTTCCATACGCATGTGCAGCCTGGGAAACACTGCGGGTCCTTGCTGGGAGTTGCAGTGGGCTTTTATTGTTTCTTACCTAGATTCAGTTGTTATTTTTGTCTGTTCTGTTTTCAAAAAAGTATTCCTCAAGTTGCTGAAAGCTTTTGGTTAGTTTCAGTTGTCTTCAGAAAGTTGATTCTGGGATTTTTGAGCAGTAGATGGACTTTTTTGTTTCATACAAAGTAGTTTTTAATTAATTGGACTTAGAAGAAAATTAATAATCAATTTAAACTACAATGTACGATAGGTCAATTATTTGGACATGGAAGTTGATTAAATAGATTATAACACAAATAAAAATAAAGTAGTACCTGGCTTTAAAAAAAGTCCATTTAAAATGATGCTAAGTTAAAGAGAATAAACTAATTAAATATTATAAAATAAAAGTCAATATGTAAATGAAATAGAAACTGATTCCATATTGAAATATGTGTTTCTAGAAAACATAACTGGTAACTTGGCATTTATTTCCTCTGTGTGCCATAGCCTTTTCTGTCTCCCCACGTTTGCTGCAGAGTCAGATGGACTTTGGAAGTTCATTGCTCCACCACTTATCTGGCATCATTTCTGTGTTTTCTAATTATAATTTTGCTGTGATGGTTAAGTTAAATTAAGGGATTTCTTAGGAGTTCATTTTAAACATGAGGGAAATATATTAGAATTTTGGTGTATGAATAAAACCTTTAAAGCTGTACCTGAATTTTAATATGCATGTTGAATTATATGCCATTTTCTAAATGTTTCCTAGCACTTGGATTAATTGTAGTCCAGGTGAAGATGAACAATAATCATAATTCACGATGAAGTGAGCATAGCACAGAAAAGAATCATCTGGGAAATAGAAAATAAATTTTGTAAAAATATGTGAAAACATGATCCTTAAATGTCCAATCCAATATCTGCCAGGAGATATAGTGGTAAGAAAGTACCAGTCTACAGAAGTCCGAATCATTATCAGTGGAGTGAGTATAAGTAGGTGGGGAGGAAGCCTGATGCTGTCAAGGAGCTGCAAGCCCGTGAGTTCAACTATTACCAAAACAGTGACCATCAGTTTAATAATTTTATCCATACCAGTGGTTTGGCATTAAAGTCAAATTTTAAAATTGAGATGAGAGCTGAAATTTGAAATTTCTTGACATCTTGACATACTTGAGGTATATGCACTTTCAAATTATATTGTGACATTTAAAACCAAATTGTATTGTGTTTGTTTCTCTCTCTCTCTCTCTGTGTGTGTGTGTGATGTGTGTGTGTGTGTGTGTGTGTGTGTGTGTGTGTGTGTTCGTTCTACTGGTAGCAAGGAACTGTACCTCCAACCAGTTCGGTTCCTCCTGTGGCTGGGGCCCCATCTGTTGGACAACCAGGAACAGGATTCGGAATGGTGAGAAGCTACCTATAAAATTTGTTATAAACAGAAAAATCTTTGACATTTCTCAAGCATTTGCCAAATCCCACATAAACAAGTGCGGCTATAGCATGAAGGAGTCATGGTGAAGCAGTGGTAACGGTGAAAGGTCAGCAGGTCAAACTTACCACCAGAGACAAGACTTGGTGAGCTGCTGCTGTTTACATTACAACACAGGAAGTCTACGGGCAGCTTACTCTATCATATAATTATATAGTATATAACAAGGAGCCCTGGTGAAACAGTGGTTATGTGTTGAGCTGCTAACCACAATGTCAGCAGTTTGAAACCACCGACTGTTCCATGGGAGAGAGATGAGGTTTTCTACTCCCGTAAAGATCACAGTCTTGGAAACCCACAGGGGCAGTTCTACCCTGTCCTGGAGGGTCACTAGGAGTCAGAATCGACTCAATGGCCATGAGAAAGAAAGTATATAATTCTCCAAAGTTCAGTGAAGTCATATTTCTAAATTTGCAGCATCTGCTTAAGACATTAAGGAATCTACACATGAAGGACTGAGGTCAGTTATAAAATACTGTAAGTAAGTTCTTCCTTCAGGGTAATGCTACAATACATTGCTCTATCATGACGAGAATAAGATTGATCATGTGTAATCTTACCTGAATGGTCAACACCAACACTTAATCACTATATTTGCTTTTCCATAAATAAAGAAGTTATTTTTAAAAATCTCTTTCAGGATTTAAAGCTTACATTAGACCAACAACAAAGCCTATTTCAGATGAGGATTTGTACTCTACATCAGTGATTCTTTCAGCTGTCAGCCCTGCAGCATACAGTTCAAAATTACAAATTTTACTCTAAAAAATGGTCAGAAGTGTGTTAAAGCCATTGATGCCAGAATAATTCATATTGAAGTCCACTCATGCTCAAACCTCTTCCTCCTTTCCAGCCTCCTTCTGGGTCAGGCATGCCAATGATGGCTCAGCAGCCAGTCATGTTTGCACAGCCCATGATGAGGCCACCTTTTGGGGCTGCAGCTGTACCAGGCACACAGGTGGGTTTTTTGTTTTTCTTAATGTTATCCACAAAGCAATGGTGCTAATTTTTAAATGAGAAGTATCATGTGGAAAACTGTTTTTTCAGTGTCTTACCTACTATTTTACATATGTTCCTTAATAGTAAAAGAGACTTGGAAGCAAGATGAGTAATAGTGTGAGGTGTGGAGAACAATTACAAAAGATAGTTCTGTGTCCTTGGGTCATTCTTTCTTTTCCTACTTGATTCAGAATTAGGAATTCAATAACACCCAGACATTTAGAGCATTCAAATGGGGGTGAGTGCAGGGCTGATGAGTGATCAGCTGAAATGTAAATCCACCACCTAATCCATAATTTTTAAAAGAAACAGGTTGGGGTAAAATGAAAATAAATAAAACATCCAACGTGTTTGTCCCAGAAAAATGAGTGCTTCTGATCTGTAATTTATTATGTATTACTGACTGCCAAATAGACTATCAAGTGTTCATATTTAAGTTCAAGTTGAACCTGAAGAAAATCAGAGCATGTGCATGAGAACCAAATCCAACCCTGAATACACTCCACCTGAATTGTTGAAGAGAAGATGTTAAAGCCTGGCACAAAAAGAAAAAGTAATGAAGCCCGGCACCTAGGAAACAAGAAGGACAAACATACTCAGCATTTCTCAAACTGAAAGAACTGGAGAAAACATTCTAATCTCAAGTCTGATGTTGAAGGGTTCTATGGGCAAAAAGAGGAAGATCCTCAGTGAGACAGACTGACACAGTAACTGCAACAATGGGCTCACACATAACCATCGTGAGGATGGTGTAGGACCAGGCAGTGTTTCATGGTTTTGTACATAGGCTTGCGAGGAGTTGTACCTGATTCGGCAGCACCTAACAATAGCAGCAACATGGGCCAAATACTAAAAGATGCAGGAAACATCAGAAGAACATGAAAGCTATGAATAGGATCCATTTTCAAAGGTCCTGGATACAGTGGCTAAAAAACTTGCAGCAGAACTCACAATTATTAAAAAAAAAAAGTCTAGGTTTACTGGTCAAGACTGGTGAGACACCAGGTCTTAAACTGAACTCATCTCCGTGTTAGAAAAATCAGTCATTTAATAGAAGGGCAGCATGTACGCAAGGACAAAGTCAAAGGGTTAGGGAAGAAGGAAGAATGGGACAGGAAGCACAGGGAGGAAATTAAGGGATTGCAGTGGATGAGCTGAATCAAAATGTGCTGAATCTAAAACTAAGGCTGCTCTGGAAGCCTTCACCTAATTCACAATAAAAAGTTTAAATAAATAAAAGAAGAAGGTGGACGAGATATATAGTCATAGTGCCAAAAAGAATTGTTCAATTTTCAACCATTTAAGGGGTTAACATTATGTATGTATGTATATGTGTATGTTTAATCACAATAATAAAATAAAAAATTCTACATGGTCATTGGATAGACAAAGAAAAGCACGAGACTAACTCCAACACCCTTTCATCACAAAAGCCCAAGAAACGTGGTATTCAAAGATGAAGCTTGTGCTGCACTGAAGGCGTTAGGAACCAAGACTGTAGGAATTCATGAGCTATCAAATGGTCTATTTTAGTAAACAGATGTTAAGCTGGATGTGCTTGTTTATCTATCCTAAGAAATTGGGAAGACAACACCCTGCTGACTTACTGAAAGGGTTCTGTATTTTTGTACATATTCCAAAGAAGGTTATCCAACGGATGCAGAAATTATAGAAAAATATTATTAATAGCATATTCAAGCAATATGCTGAAAATGATTCCAAAATTGTAGCAATACACCCACCGGGAACTTCTAGAAGCTCAAGGTGGATTCAGAAGAAGACCTGAAATGAAGACTATCATTGCTAATGTTAGATGTGTCTGATCTTACTGCAGAGAGTACCAGAAAGATGTTGGCCTGCATTTTATTGACTATGCAAAAGTATTCAACTGTGTGAATCACAAGTATGGATAACATTGTGAAGAATGAGAATTCCAGGACACTTCATTGTACTCACGTGTAATCTTTACACAGACCAAAAGTTCATTCGAAAAGAACGAGAGGACTTTCCATGACTTAAAATCAGAAAAGGTATGCATCAGGATTGCATCCTTTTACCACACTATCCAGTCTTTATGCTGAGCAGGTAATTCAAGAAGCTGCACTTCATGAAGAAGAACATGATTGGAAGAAGATTCATTAATAAATTGTGTTGCACAGATGACACAATCTTGATTACTGTAAATGAAGAAGACTTGAAGCATTTACTGAAAATCAAAAACCACAGCCTTCAGTGTGGATCACACCTCAAAAGAAAGAAAACAGATCCTCACAATTGAACACATCGTGGTAAACAGCAAAGATTAAAGTTGGATCCATAGTCAATGCCCATGGAAGCAGCCAACAAGAAATTAAACAATGCATTGCAGTGGCAAA